TATCATCATGCCAAATCAAAGCCAAATAGCTTTCCTCTTCCTATCCATACTCGTCACTAGTTTGGACAGAACTGAATTTCCGCAGTCAGTGGAACCACCCCTCCAGATTTCCATAGCTTTAAACCGTTTTATAAACTTGCAAATCTAAATCTTACCAATACAATTCCAAAAGTACTGTACTTCCAATGGCATCTTGTTAAAAGACAGAAAAACTATTATTTGAAGGATTGGATCATTTCAAAAAGTTTAAAGTAGACTTGTTAAATTTTATTTCCTTAGGTTTGCAACATCAGTATCGGACTACTACATTGAAATCATTATACTAACCTGTCGTTGTATTAATAATACAAATATGGCTGATTCAATGGTTAATTGATGAATGAACTTTTGCATTTTTTTATGTCTGCATTCGCCTACCAGATTACATGTTTGCATGGATTGTCATTTGATGCTGGTTTGGTCTTGTGTTCATATCCGTGTAATTCTATATTGTGGGCTAATAACAATGGTGCAACCTGTCTTTCTAAATATTATTAGCAAAACTATATTGTAAAAGATGTCTTCAATGAACTGAGAGAGGACTTTTAAGAAAGAATTTGTTGCTCTGACTCGTTATAATTCTGTAATTCTATTTATTACTTTTTCGACCATATTAATTACTACAGTCATATTGATTATGTAACTGATTTAAATCATCAACCTTTATTCATTGACTTTAACTGATGGTGAACAAAGTTATGAATAACTTTGACTTTAAGACGTCTACTAAGTTCTATTGCATTGTACAATATTGGCACTGGTCATTTATAATTTTAATAAATGTGTACTGTACCTACATTTATACGATGATCTCTATTTCTTAGTTGAATCCTAATACAGTATTTCTTAGTTGAATCCTAATATAATGTAGGCCTAAAATGTGAATTTATAAAAAGAGAGTTGAAGAGTAGATTATCTATGATCAGATTTAGATTTGTCTGAAATTACAAGGAAATTAAAGGACAGAAATAAATTTCAAAAATTACTGTGAATTAAACTACATTTTTATTAAGAAACATCAATGATACACAGGTTTAAATACACTTCTCTTAAAGGGACTTGAAAGAAGCTGGCTTTAAAAATGTAGCCTACAGTAATCAGTACCTATACCATTAGTTCCGAAACCGTACTCCTTGACCAATAAGACCAGAAAAATTAAATTACACAGTCAATTTCGAAAAGAAAGCATGCAGACAAATTTCAATAACTTTTAGCACTGTATTACGAAGATAGTAGAATAGAAGTGGGTTCCAAGCATGGACATTAATATTTGCTACGGGAATAGTTTTAAAAGTTCAAATTGCATTCATGATTCCACCACCACCAATAAAGACTACTTGGACTGTTACAGTTTTCAATAAATCATAACAAATTGTAATAATAAATCAAGAACACCCACTTACACTATAGGTTCTCACGTATTGTTTACGGTCAAAACTGACAACTCACACAACATAGGTACTAAACCTAACCATTGCAAATTCTATTAAATGGTTTAAATTGAATAGGCTGATGATGAGAAGGATGATGAGGTTATATGTTTAACATATCAAACTGTTAGAATTAATAAATGGTCTAAGAAATGTTAAACATTTCCTATTTTTCAATTAGGTACATTTTTTGACCAACTATAGTGGACAATTCCCAATTCCTGTTATCTAGCTAATTTTCTAACTGATTTTATTTATTAAACTGAGACCTTATTTAATTGGAATGATAATACATTCCCATTAACTAAGGCCTCAATAGGGTGTGGGTAAAATGGGGTTTACTGAATATTTGCCATTAACAAATGGGTTTTCCTGTCACTATCCAAAACACATTTTTTTAAATAAAATATATCTCATAAACTGTATCTAGGCGGTTTTAAAAGTTATAAATTTTGGGACGTTGATTTTTGTCTTTTGGGTTGTTTAAAGCTCTTAATTGAAAGTAACTTACATCAAAGCATTAGCCTAACCTAACTCTAAAGAAGATAAACAAAATCATGAAAATTTTAACATTTCAGTTCTGTCGGCATGTGATGAAATATAGTACTAGGACCATGATGTCAACAATATTGTTCACTATTGTAGTGGTCCCGCTCATCATCTAACCATGATTGATATATCCAATGCACAGGTCCAAGACCCAGTGTAAGGGATCATGAGCGATCAATGAGCGACTCTTTGTAAAGTTTAAATACGGGAAAGTAATGATATAGGTACAGTACTTTGTTAATGAGAGGGAAATACTCAAAGAAAAACTGTAAGGTTTCTTTCATTTCGGTGCTTAAAATAATAATGTTTAGTAGGTACCTATCAAATTATGTATTAACGTAGGTCTACTCTACAGTAATAGGCATGTTTAAAAAATGTTAATGGCAATAAAAGAAACCAATATTCTGTTTAATCACAGATTTTATGGGGCTGTCTTACATTTTGAGCTTTTTGCAGTAGACAATTTTTATAAAAGTTAGGCTATTGTATGTTGTGTTAAATAGGCTATCTAAAATATTTTAAAAATTAATTGTTTGCCATAGAAATTTCTGTGGGGTTTTAAAGTGTTTAATTTAAGGGTTTGGATTTCCACTGGATAACGAAAGATCTATAGCCTACTTACGTAAATTAAAATTCACGGTGTTGTCTATTACCGTATAGGGTATAAAATTCATATTAGATTAAAATAGTTGCATACAGTGAGAGGCTTAGAAAATACTTATTAGATATTTAAATTGTTTTAATAGTAAAAGTATAAGCGTTTTACTGAACTTAAAAGTTTTCTAGGGCTAAGCAAAAATAACTTATGTGTGGAAGAACAAGGTCTGTTGTTCTCAGGTAGTTATGTATTTGCTTTTTTTTTCATTGTTAGCTCTGCCACTGTCACTTACTTGCATCCAACGTTTGAATACTATTAATTACTCATATTTCCTGTCACCTCAAACTGTTGGGGAAGATTTTGTAATGTGCCAATTCAATTAAATACTGAGTGACGTTTAAGTATCAAATAGTCCTATCCTGCTGCAGAAAATGTTCTAACTGAGTGAATTTCCATTTACCTGATGGGATTTTTATTACAATATTTCCTGCTGGGCCTACCACAGAATAGAGGAGTAGACAGATTGCTTTTGCTATCACCATTAATAAGGCACAAGGACAATCCCTAACTATCACCGATTTTAATTCCAAATTTTATGTCTAATTTAGAAAACAGGCCTAAATGCTTTTCACACAGAGAGCAGCTCTATGTTGCACGCTCACATGAGTTGGTATGCCTAAAAACTTTTGTATATTTTTTTACACCTAATGAAAAAACAAAAAATATTGTTTATCCACTGGCAATTAGCCTAAGTAAAATAAAAATTCTATTTTAGTTCTTGGAAGGCCAATATATTTTTCATTATTTATCGTAAACAACAAATAACCATTTTAAATAAAATGCTAGTTGTTAAGCCCAGAAACACGCGCCAGGTAACGCTAGTAACAAACCGTAACAACACCACTTCAAGAAGAGATAACCTGGCGGCATTTGAATTCACCATACACATTACAGTATGGTAAAATAGACAGCCTAAAGAGTTTTAACCATGTACAGGCTACAAGAGTTTTTTTTGTCAAGACCAAATGCTAAGCTCCCTGCCAGTGTTACACCGGTGTTCATAAATGGTCCTGACTAACGAAACAGCTGGTCATAGTCAGTAACAAAGCTACGCAAGGCATCACACTACAATCATCTTTCACTCATATTTGGATTGAAATACGCACATAGGTCGCGTCCCCATCCCAAATGAATATGGATTATGTTCAGAATTTGTACCTTGGAGCACTCATTACGCCCAAACACATTTCATATGCCGCTTCTACCAAAAGATTGAAATTTTCAATTTAAATGTGGAGACCAAGTTAAAGTTAGCTTATTGCAGATAAAATTTATCAGAGACTTCAAATAGACTTCAATCTGAAGGGGAAATTCACCTTTTGGGTACAATTCTATATATCTGTTGGCACAAACAGCCAAATGAGTAATATCGATCGATAGGTATATCGTTTGGTTAGTTAGGTAACCTAACTAACCAAATGATAAACTTATAAGTTATCGAACTAAACAATCGAATAATCAATATTAGGCTACTTATTCGGTTGTTTGTGCCAACAGATATGGAAGTGTAACCCGGCACCTTTTTTCCTTACTGAACATTATTATTAAGAAGGTACTAACTTAAAAATAATTGAACATTTCCACTTGAAAAGATTATTCTGCCTGAACATCAGGTTTGCAGATCAGGAGATTTTTACTAAGCTAGGCGTAATTCAAAATCGTGTAGTCTGCTACATAAGAATGAATATGTTTGGCTGCAAGTTAAAAATCATAAATAACTTAGGGCTAGGCCTACTCATGAGTTCTCTGTGCCAAAACAGGCCAGCTATGTGATCGATCTATTATAAAATAATATTTTTAATCTCAATGTTTAGGTTGGCTTGGCCTTACTGTTACTGTTGATAATATTTCACTTCACACACCTTAAATTTAAACCGAGGAGTGAGTTAGGCCTAAAAATATATATATTTTACACTTGAACAGTATAAGTCCTATGTCTAAGCTTATGAGATTACGTATTAATGAAAATTAAGACTAATTGTAACCCATTCACCAAATATTTTAGCCCACACCAATGTAAGTTAAGTCACCACAAACCAAGGACGGCCTTAACTTGCAATTTTTTCAAAAGTGCTAGTATAAGGTGATTAGGCTAACTGGAAATTTCGGAAACTTGTTAATCTGTAAAGTACCTACCTACTTCAGCTGTAGGCCTATAATTAGAGTTGTATTAATTAGGCTAATAATTAGGAAAACAGCCGAAGACAAGACTTATGGTCAGGTGGACAGGCTACTGGCAAGATAACGTGCACCCTTAAGTTTTAAAGCTGTTCATTACGTTAATGCAAGCATCAAGACATGCAATAATAATAAACAGAAGATACCTGATATGGTAGTAGCATTTCTCTATTTTCATCCATGTTTGTGATCTCAAATGTTGGAGGTTGTGGAAAAAGTCCTTTACCAGGATATGACGTACTACGCCGGAATTTTGGAGAAATAACCATACCAGAATGTTGGTGGTTGAACGTAGGACTCGGTTTCCGGTTTGCCATCTGTTGTAAGGGATTTAAATTCGGAACAGACCGTCCTCTATTCCATGGTGAAAGACCTGTCATGTTAGCTTGATTTTGTGGCCCTTGTGACCAGGTATTTTGCTGTGGACTTGACCAAGATGTATAACCTTTATTGGCCATAAACATATTTTGAGGGTGATTTTGCTGTTGAATGTGTCGAGAGAGGTTATGTGGGAAGTTGTGGGATGCAGTAATGGCTCTACGTTGTTGAGGTGGCTGCTGGACCTGAGTTTGTGGTAAACCAGCCATCTGAGGACCTAAACTACTGTTATAAAGAGCATTTGGGGGTGTTGGAGGAAAGTTTTGAAAAGCTAGGGTCCCATTTACAGCTGGGCCTACATTTAAACTCTGCATCAATGCATCATCAATTGGTCCTGAGGACCACAAACTGGCTGTGGATGGGTTACTTGAATTAATTACATTTAAACTAGGCTCAGATACACTATAGCCTGGAGGTAATTGTAGGGGGGATGAAACCACAGGTCCCAATTGGGACTGATCGTTTTGTTTATCAGACTGAACCACCAAACTTCCGTCTTCATCTTTGGACTTCAGGCTGTGGTCACCATTGAGGTCAGAATTTTGAGAATTTAACTGCGTCTTGACCGATGATTTTTCAATCAGAAGATCATCTTGCATAGAACTCGAATGTTGCAAGGATGACACTGAGTCCGGCACTGTTGAAGGTGTGGTGAAAAATAATGAATTGCTCGTCGTACTAACAGGAAACTCCACTGAAGACACTGAACCTACGCTAGCATTTACACTAAATTTGTAATCCCCCATTAGAAGTAGCGGAATCGTGATTTTAAAAAAAAATTTCGGGGGTTTAATTTACTACCACGCACACACGTACACCATCCACCGTCAACACAGTTCACTTTCGATATTCGACTCAACGACTTCTGCTAGCAGAAGATACGCGAATCTGACACTACGACAGGAGCAGCACCAGTCACATGAACAACAAATGCTGCCATCTCATTGGTGCACAACTTCCGTTTAGTGTCGATATTCAGCACAATCGGCGCTAGCAAGCACACACACATGTGATTGGGTACATATGTTCGTGGATTACTTGTTTTTCTGGACCAAGTCACTCGGTGATGGGCATTTATAAAAAAAACATATCAGCTGTTTAGCACTTAATTTGGCGCCTGTGGTTACAAATTTGTAATTTGTGGATAATTATTTTGCAGTTCAGTATAGGTTGATTGTTGAGGATTTCCCATCCTTATGGAACAGCTGAAGCCAATTTTATTGTTAGTTCTGTCCGGCTTTCTGTAGATGTCGTGTTTTTTTTACAATTTGTTCATATTATTTTAGAGTTAGTTTCTCATTATTTGTGTCTTGCTGTTTGGTTATATAGCTAGTGGACGAGTTATTGTTTATGATTAGATAGCTTGATTTGGTTAAACGAGGTTTTAAATTACTGAAATAACAAAAAACAAATTGAAAAAAAAAACACGGACCGGACAGAACTAACAGTAAAATTGGCTTCAGCTGTTCCATAAGGATGGGAATATTACCTTACACGAATCAAATATATAAATAGGCAGACCGGCTTGGGAGGTTGGTTAAACATGTACTGCAGTAAATGTGAATAATATGCCTAAGTAGGCTACTGTTTTTCAAGACTAGTCACTCAGTAATGGATATTGATATTAATTTGAGAAAAACCATCAGCTGTTTGGCACTTAATTAAACTAGACAAGGGTGTCCCAGGATAAAAACTAGGGGGGGCAAGAGCATACCTACTTGAAACAGGGGTCGCCCACCAGGGGGGCCTGGGGGTATTGAATATCCCCCAGTCTGGAGGGGGGTCCGGGGAATATTTTAAAAACAATATGCTGAAATTAGAGTTAAAGGGGGCCGGCCATGATCAAAAAGTCACTCTAAAGTAATTTCTATGACTGGTTATAGAAATGACATAATATTATTTAAAAAATTATAAAAGTAATCTACAATATTTAAATAAAGATCCGCTCCCATACTACTGCTTTGGTCAACTCTTGTGTACTGTAGGCGGGTGCCCTCTATGAGTCTAGTTGTTGTACCAAAAACCACAGTTTAGATCATTGGATAGTTTATAGTTTGTCCTGTTTACATTCAGTTGTTGTATTCTATCTTATTCCTAATTAAATTGTATTATGATAACTCTGTATCTTTATATAATCAGGGTAATTAACCGCTGCAGCTCAACTATGCTATTTCATCAACATCAGGTTATGGGCCTCCTGTTAACTGATTTTTAATTTTCTCTGATTATTTTGTCCAAGCTCACCAACTTTTAAAATGTATCAATCTCCTTCAATAGAGAAATTTTAAAACCGTGAAAATTATGATACATGGAAAGTTGCTGTTCAAGAATATTTAGAAGATTGTGAGCTCTGTGACTGTATTTTTGGGAACTGAAGAAGATAGAAAGATAGTGACAAAATGTAAATCCAAAATCATATTGCTAATTGATTCAGTTAATTATGTCCACGTTCAATCGGCAGAAACAGCCAAGGAAGCCTGGGAAAATTTAGAAAAGTCATTTTCTGACAGGGGTTTGAGCCGAAGAGTTGGTTTGCTACGATTGTTAACAACCTGGTTGGTTGTTATATTGTATTGTTGATTGTTAGTATGATATTGATAATTTTTTTATATAAGTAATTTCCTGTCTGTTGTTATGTTCATGTACAAAATGTATCAAGTCTGTAGTAGCATAAACGCTTTATGAGTATACTAGCTGTACCCGCGGGCTTTGCCACGTTTAACTTTATAAGTATTCGCATGGTTCAATCACGTCCTGGTTGAAGTTTGTTCGCTACGCTCACTCACCTTTTGGTTGCAAATTAGCTGTTGTCATAAATTAAAAACAAATAATAGTGCTGCACCCTGTTGGTGTAATCATTGTAACTTTAATGCTATTGAGCATCATAGAACAGAACCAACTTGTTTAATTGAAACAGCTGTTAACATTCATTAACTCCTTTTAAATATGAAAAATCATAAGGTTAACATGGGTTAACTCCAGAGCCACTGGGGCGGAGCCCGAAAGCCCGATCAGAATAAAAACTACTTCTACCTACTACTAACTATCTAACTACTACCTATTTAATGCCCAAAGAATCGGTGTACCGAATTTCAGCCTCCTAGGTAAATGGGAAGTGGGAGAATTAGTGATGAGTGAGTGAGTCAGTGAGGGCTTTGCCTTTTATATATTTAGATGTGAAATGAAGTTTTCCATCAATAAATCAATTTAAAAAGTGTGGAGTGTGAAATAGTTATTTGTGTAACAAGTGTGCAAAGTGGCACTGCTGCACATCAGAGAAATGTTTACGCACGAGTATGGAGAGTTTCTCCAGTGCAGCAAAGGCATTTGCACTCGCGTTACACATTATATTTTTCCTACAGTTACTATAAAGCATAATAATTAGTCTTTCAAACACTATACAACACGTTTTTAAGTTAGGTTAAATCCAAGCATCGAACAAAACCAAAAACGCTGTACCAGCTGATCGTAGTCATAGTATATAAGTGTTGCCAACTCATTTTCAAGCCTACACGTATCACGTTTCTAATAAAAGCACACTGTTTTGTGTTGTTTCGATGGAATACTGAAGTGCGGAAAAAAATTGTAGGGCAAAAGAAAATGAGTGCAGCAAAAGTAAGCAAATGCAATTAGCTACTTGGCGTGCTCTTATCAGTGCAATGAAGTCCACTTTGTCAGGTAACTGTGTGATGATGTGGAGTAGTATGAGTGTAAATGAAGATACCTGGGCCCTATATATCTTCCTCTGACCACTACCAAATCACGCACATTTCCTGTCGTTGCTCAACTCTATTGCATGGAAACTATCTACCTCGTCAAAGTGCACAATATTACCCTAGCTGCCTATCACAGCCAGCTTTTATGTTATTTAATATATCTAATTATAATATATAGTGAACAGAGAAATACATATATATATATCTGGACTTATTCTAATTCGTGAAAAGTAACTAGATTTAGCAAATGTGAATTCTAAATTTGTGATATTGATTGCCAGACCACAACCATTGGTGAACCTAATAAATTACATATTTAATTAAATTAAGTTTGCCCTGGCCTACACCCTTCCCCAACCTCTATATCTATTAGCTAGACATTCTTATGCTACTACTTATCAGGACTAGTTGAACGGCTGCAGGCGGGCACACTACTACTGTTCTGTGACGATTCGTCGCGCGTGCCTGTGGCGGGGAGACTGCGCACGCATGTAACAGTGCCACGTGACTTGCGCTACCTATTGTCTTGTAGCGAGTCGCTACAACTGTAGGAAAATGAAATGTGTGATGTGTGAAATTTCTCCTTCTGTCCAACCTATTTTACAGTGTTGATTAATTTTGTTTTCTTTAAAAAGAATATGTATTAGTAAGTACTTTTTTGATTGATGGTTTGCAGAGTGTGCTGTTTTAGTTTTACCCTTTGCATAGTGAGTTTCTAAAATTCAAGACTAACTCCAGACTTTTCAAGACTAATTCCAGATTTTTCAAGACTAGTTTATTAAACAATTAGTGAGTGTCAATACCAAAATGTATCAATTCTCGATTCTTGATACCGGTACCAATTTTTATAGTTTAACCAAATTTTGTAAATAATTTGGTTATGGTATCTTCCCAGGTATCTTCATTTACACACCCCTGTCTTTATATTATAAAGTATTATTAAGATAATGTGGTGTTTTGACAAAATGCAGCAAAGAAAAATTCTAACTAGCCAATTAGGGGTTTATTTTATCATGAAATCTTCCGCAGATGTGTAGACATCATCATTGACTATATGGTGGTCACTATATGGTCCCCCCTGTAAAATCGAGTTATTGTTATACTGCTTTGACACATTGAAAGGACATCGGACAGTTAGGCCAGGCGCACACAGGCGATTTTGAGTCTAGCAACAGTTGCCCAATTAATTGGGGGACTGTTGCGCAACCCACTCAGAGACTCTGAAGTCTAGCGACTGTTTCCTAGACTCCTGACCTAGACTGTTTCCTTGGTGTGCGCACTCCAATTTAAAACAATGGTGAATATTTTAGTCGGGCAACTGTTGCTAGACTTAAAATCTCATGTGTGCGCCTGGCCTTAGAGATGCGAACGCAAGAGCATTATTGTATTCACAGATGTTATCTAAAAAGTTTGTTTGGAGCTGGTATGTGTTAATAGCCCTATAAGTTTCTCATGATGTCGTATTTCTGGGAGTCTCACTATTTCATTTTGGCAGCACATATTAAAATGGTCATTTACTTTTTCCTTGCTAAAATTAAGAGCGCCACAATACTCACATCTGAAATTCATTGGGCTAAGATGAAACGGTTGTGTATTATTGAAATGTGGGGTCAAAAATAGGTCATGTCGACCTCTATGATTATGAGAAATCCTGACTTCTGAATTATGATTCCTTAAGGTTAAAATAACTCGTCGTCTTCCTCGGTTAGGTCTTCCACCCACATTGGGTTGTAACGCCACTATGCGTTCCATTTTTTTTAAAAATTTTTTGAAGACATATTATAACCACTTAGTGTTAAAAAATTACATTGTTAAGGTTAAGTTGAGCTGAAATAAACAAAACAGAATACAGTTATACAAACAAATAATCACACCAGATTTTAATAAGGTAATAAATTGAAAGAATAACGTACAAATAAGAACAGCTGAGGTATTTTTTCGACATAAGGTATATGGAAAGTTCTCTTTAGAAAGGAATTTTACGACCTTAAAGGGCAATTTATGAAATAATGGATAGTTTTGGAAGGTTTCTCGTCATGACATACATTTTAAGTACAGTACACCTTCAATATGCCTAGTTCAACACTCGATAGTTTGACCCTCCTTGTAGTTTGACACGGGCTGAGGCTACCCGTCTAAACGTTAGCGATCGATATTTTGTTTTTTGTACGCCGGTCAATGACCGGGACTAGTTCTTTCCAGTTATAAGAGTGAAAGCAATCGAAGATCACAAAATATTTAATGTAGTGATATTTAATGGTTACTATTTTGTAATGTAAGTTGACTAGAACATTAATTATTGCCTGGAGACTAATGGACAGTGAAATTGTTAAGCTTTTTAGTATTTAATAAATTTGGGCGATTTCTATATAAAACTTGTATTTTTACTTTTCTGTATATTAAACTCCATTTACTCCCTATAGTTCGACATTTCGATAGTTTGACACCCCTTAAGTCCACAAAGGGTTGAACTATCGAGGTTGTACTGTATATGGTTTATGGGGGTGTGACTTGTAGTTTTTTTCAAGAGTTCATGGGTACTTTGGGATTTATATATGGATATTAGCTATGTTCTTTCTACTTACCACTAAACTCATATAAAGCTGGTAATAATACTGTACAATAATCACATGATAACATATTTGGATTTGTAGATTTTTTTCAATATGTTATTGTATATGAACCACTTTATAGCTAAAGTTGTTATTAAATATGAGTGTACATAATTGAATCTTAATGATGACCAAGTTTACAGATATATGTTAAATAAAAGATTAGTGTTTTGGAGTTAAAAGGTAATCACACAAGAGCCAAGTATATAAAGAAAAACCTCATAGGCCTAGCTCAACTAGTGCAGGTGTCTAGGGTATGGTTCATAGGATGCTTGATTTAAAAAATGCCTTTTTTGGCCTGCTGAATTTGGAATAATAAGACTTATAGTTATAACATATATAATATACATAATATACAGGGTTAGTAAAAAGTGTGGAGACCCCCTGTTATTTTTTTAACGGCCCATACTAGAAAAACTAAACTCGGCACACCTTTATGGCATGTTGTGAAGTACTTTTTGGGCATAACCGTCACTTGGTGTACATCCCCAAAATGGGGGATTTTGGGGGAAACTCAAAAATTTCAAATACAAAAACCTACCGAGTGACCCCTCATTTTGAAGGTCCTGGTAAAAGAAAACCAAAAACGCAAACTAGAGGTATTTATCTCAATCCAGTAAAAAATGGCAGCCAATTGAAATTCTCAGAAATTGAATTTAACTTGCAGCTTTCCAAGTCTGGAGACCCCCTGTAAATTTTGTAGCGGCTCACACTAGGAAAACTGAACTCTACACACCTTTTTGGCATGTTATGAAGTACTTTTTAAGCATAATAGCCACTTGCTTACCAAACCCAAAATGGGGGATTTTGGGGGAAACTAAAAAGTTTTAAATGATAAGCCCCATCAAGTGATCCCTCATTTTGAAGGTCCTGGTAAAAGAAAACTTACAACGCAAACTAGAGGTTTCTATCTCAATCCAGTAAAAAATGGAAGCTGATTGAAATCTTTAGAAATTGGAAATAACTTGCAATTTTATATTCAATTGGCTGCCATATTTTACTGTGTTAAGATAGAGACCTATAGTTTGCGTTGTTAGTTTTCTTTTATTATGGCCTTCGAAATGAGGGGTCACTAGATGGGGCTTATCATTAAAAATTTTTGAGTTTCCCCCAAAATCCCCCATTTTGGGTTTGGGAACTTATGAGAATTTCAATTGGCTGCCATTTTGTACTGAGCTGAGATAGAGACCTCTAGTTTGCGTTGTTGGTTTTCTTTTACCAGGACCTTCAAAATGAGGGGTCACTCGATGGGTCTTTGTATTTGAAATTTTTTAGTTTACCCCAAAATTTCCCATTTTGGGGATGAACACCAAGTGGCGGTTGTGCCCAAAAAGTACTTAATAACATGCCATAATGGTGTGCCGAGTTTAGTTTTTCTAGTATGGGCCGTTAAAAAAATAACAGGGGGTCTCCACACTTTTTACTAACCCTGTATATAATATATTAAAAATTGAAAAGTGTAAAAGAAAAAAAATCATTTTCTTGGGAACAAATAATTTATTTTTAAATACAAACAAAAACACATCAAACACAATTCTCATTTGAAATTCAAACTGAATGTCAGATAATAAAAACATTGTTTAAATGTGTGTAAATGTGGATTAGGAACTTTGTCATTGCTTCATTTCAAATGAGAGGTAACATCAGTTGACAAATTTGGTCTTAGTCAATTTTCATAGTTGTATTCCTCGTCATTGTAGTCACTATAGGAATCATCATAGTGATTTGACGTTGTGTAAGGATAGGGATTGTAGAATGAAGGAGTGGTGTAACGAGGGTTGTAGTATGAACAATTTCTGTTACGGTTGGTATCATAGTTGGTGTTTCGATCATAAGGACGTTTCTTATTCTTTTTGTTTTTCTTCTTGTAGCGGTAGGGCCCAGCAGCTGCATGTCTGTTGTTTGTTGGTATTTGCACAACTGACCTCACAACAGTGTTTGTCCCAGAAGTGGAGGCTACTTGACACTCATCATCTTCAAGATTGCAGCGTCGGCCACCACGGCCTGGAGTAAATGTCACTGATATTCCTAACAGTTGAATAAACAACAGCATATGAGAGTGCATGCAATGCAAGGTGATATTAGCTTTTAGTTTAAGTTTTAGCATAAAGGCTACTTATTGATGAGTTGGTGCCTAAAGCAATAATCGACTCCATTGGTTTTTGGAAAAAGCATCAGCACCGAGAACCACCGTTTAATATGTCGCTACTGTTACTTTGGTACCCCTGGCAGAAAGGTCTCGCAATGACAGGTACGCAACGTGGCATCAGGTTAATTGCAGGAGTGGCTACCTTTTCTTCTACACAGTGAGTAGACTAGAGGCGGCTATCAAAATATTGCTTAGGGACGGTACATAGGCCTGCATAAATTTGTCCTTAGGTATCACATTCTATTTTTATTTTATTTACATTAATCTAGGAACAAAAAAGCCCCAAGAAAATTGAAAAGTGATTGAAACATCTGAGAACAACAGTTTGTTGGGATTTTTAGCTTATTTTCCTAGTCTTGTATAAAATTCACATATTTTCCCAGTAATCAAAACTCACGAACAATTCACGGTTTTTACCAGTTTTCAGATTAGCTGGACACACTTAATAATAAGTTTATTTAATTTACCCTAACCAATGTATGTAAGCAATATAATATATTTAAATCTCAAAGTTCTTCATTTGATTATCTTTTGGATTCGATTGTAAAACAGGAACGGCCAAAATTTCCTGCATGATAAAAAACATTTTGGGGTGAATAATGATTTAGATTGAGGAAATCTTTGAGTGAAATTTGTTCGGGTTTCCCACTATTTGTCTTCAAAAAAATTCACTGTGAACTTATATGGAATCGGTAACGAGAGTCATGAGTAATATTTAATATTTCAGAACTGGTATCGAATTGAGAAATTCTGTTATCATCGGCCATTCCCTATTTAAAATACAGTAGACTCTCGCTCATCCGGACTAATGTGGCGGACGTCCGGTCCGGATTACGAAAAATCTGGACTATCGAGAGTCAAGCAAATACACAGTACTGTATATAGCCGTTTTTTCAATTTAGTTCCAGGTCCACAGTAATGATAGCCGGGCATATGCACTTCCAACGGTAATAATCTTTATGGCTGAATTTTGTTCCAGGTCCACAGTAATGATAGCCCGGGGGATATGCACTTCCACCGGTAATAATCTTTTCGGCCGAATTTTGTTCCAGGTCCACAGTAATGATAGCCCGGGCATATGCACTTCCACCGGTAATAATCTTTACGGCTGAATTTTGTTCCAGTTCCACAGTAATGATAGCCCGGGCATATGCACTTCCACCGGTAATAATCTTTACGGCTGAATTTTGTTCCAGTTCCACAGTAATGATAGCCCGGGCATATGCACTTCCACCGGTAATAATCTTTACGGCTGAATTTTGTTCCAGTTCCACAGTAATGATAGCCCGGGCATATGCACTTCCACCGGTAATAATCTTTTCGGCCGAATTTTGTTCCAGGTCCACAGTAATGATAGCCCGGGCATATGCACTTCCACCGGTAATAATCTTTACGGCTGAATTTTGTTCCAGTTCCACAGTAATGATAGCCCGGGCATATGCACTTCCACCGGTAATAATCTTTACGGCTGAATTTTGTTCCAGTTCCACAGTAATGATAGCCCGGGGGATATGCACTTCCACCGGTAATAATCTTTTCGGCTGAATTTTGTTCCAAGTACACAGTAATGATAGCCCGGGCATAAGCACTTACACCGGTAATAATTGTTTCGGCCGAATTTTGTTCCAGGTCCACAGTAATGATAGACCGGGCATATGCACTTCCACCAGTAATAATTTTTACCGCCGTGTTATCCGATTTGTTTCATTATTTAAAGTAGTCTCTGTCCCGTTTCGCTTGGATAATCGGACTTCTACTGTACTGTGCCGCTAAAAAAAATCACGATTGCCGATTCGGACTACCAGGAGTCCGGACAAGGCCGATCCGGATGAGCGAGAGCCTACTGTAACTAGGACGTTATTCAAGCCATGGCCTTGAGTTTTGAGACCACTATGAGCTTTGAGGCATATGCACTAGATCACTGCATACACACTATCACTGCATTCAGTTTCACACGACTCGCCCCTTGTGTCGTCTTGAGGCGACATATTTGGGGTTTTAGGGTTTCAAAAACAAAATCACAGCTTAATCAAGGTTTTTTCACAGTTGACCTATTCAACGGTTTTAAGATTTTCACGGTTGAGTGGGAATGGGGACCCTGTTGTTTTTTACACTTGTCACAAAAACCATAGTGCAAAAGCTAGCAATAAAAAAAACATCAGTATGACTTTTGAACACAAAAACTTTAAAATCCAGAAATAATTACTATTGTTTGCTCAAGATGTCTCATTGATTCGAAGTATAAATGTCTCTTATCTAAAGAATCTTAGGGAAGATAGCATACCTTTTGCCCTGGACTTTACAGGTGTAGCAAGATTGATCTTGGAAAAGATTCCTGTCGTTGGTATCTTAACCTCAGGTTTCTTCTCAGGCTTTTTGCTATCCATCTGCTTTGCTTTATCCAGTAATATTGTCTGGATGTTATTGGGGAGCTTCTTGCCCCAGGACAATGCTGTAAATGAACAGCAATCCATACAATCAAACATTTCAGAAGGGACAGAGTTTATCAAACTAAACTGCTATATTATTCATTTATATGCAATAATACCTATTTTGTGTTAAGAATGTTCAGTGCCTTTATTTCTGGTCAAAGCGGTTAATTTTGTCATTATGACTCCTGTAGACATTTTGTCTGCCTGAATTAAAATATCTGGTACCTAATTGACAAACCTACTAAAGTTACTAGTGTTTCGGCGAGTTGTCTGGATCACATTTTTGTTAAATACTGCAACGTTTGTGAAATTAAATCTGCTGTGATTCAGACGGCGGTGACGGATCACTACAGCACTGGACTTAACTGTTGCCACTACACAACCCAACACTCCACAATGCTCCACACCCACACATGCTTATCTTGACCATCAACTACTCTCACATCTACTCACACATTTAAAATGGGCTCTGTTGTCACTTGTAATCAAGACCAGTCACTTGTAATTCCTGCTCCAGCCACTTCAATACAACAGTAGTAAGTTGCATTAAATCAGCCACAAAATCTCGAAAAATTCAACATCTAGACTAAAATTAAACCTTGGATAACTATGGACTTGGTTAGACAAATTAGGATACGAGATAAATTAAGAAAACAAGTAAAAAAAGCAGCCTTCTAATAATGTGTTAATATATCATTTCATCAATTTTAAACAAACTCTTAATAGTATCTTGGTAATCTTGGTACTGTCTTTCAATGAATAACTGATGAAGCCTATTGTAATCATGTATTACTTAATGGTGAATAAACTTCTTGATTCTAGTAACTTAAAGCGTACAAAACGCAAATATTACAGGTCAAAACTAAATGAATGTATGTCATAATAATCCCAAAAAATTCTGGGGAATAATAAATGAGTTGTCAGGTAGAATAAATAAAAAAGATTTCTTTCCAATTGAAAAAGCTTCTTCCGCCATTCTGGCGGTTCTGCCATTACTTCAACCTTATGTGAAGAGGTGGCTGGAGATTTTAATAACTTTTTTGCAAACGTTGGAAAGGAGCTGGCTGATTCAATTGATCCTACCGATGACCCAGTTTTGAAAGACAATGACTTTTGACTGAGCTGCACTTTCGACTTAAAACCGATCAATGAACTCGACTTGCGACGTTACGTACAGGGTTTACGGGGAGGGTCAGCGCCGGGCTGTGATGGTGTCTCGGCCGAAGTCTTGAAAAGTAATTTCAATGTACTATGTGACCCCCTACTTCTTATTATCAACCACAGCATCATTTCTGGAGTTTTCCCTGATTGCTACAAGTTATCAAAAGTATTTCCATTCCACAAATCCAACGATTTCATCAGCAAAAACAATTATCACCCTTTATCTCTACTTAGTGTCTTGGCTAAAATAATAGAAAAAATAGTAAAGGATCAAATGGTATCTTATCTTCAAACAAATTACATCCTCGGCGAGCGCCAGTACGGGTTTCATAGAGATAAAAATATTTCAAATGCTTTGTTCGATATAAATAGAGAACTTGATTGGCCCGAGGTCCGAGATAAGGCTATGCATGATCTTATGATTGTAAAACGATGGTTGAATCAAAACATTCTTTCGCTAAATGTATCTAAGAACAAATTTATGTCAATTTCTATAAATAAAAGTACTGAATTTATTTTAACTGATTTCATTATTCCTAATTGTAATAACTATCAAAGTACTACATGTTTATGCGAAAGCATTGAAAAGGTAGACTCGTACAAATACTTGGGTGTATTTTTTGACGAGCGTTTGAAATGGAATACTCATATTACTTATCTTAGAAACAAAATTCGGAAATATATTTTTGTTTTTAAACATATGAATGAAATCCTATCAATAAAAGAATTAAAAATGGCATACTTTGCTTATGTCCAGTCGTTGCTTTCATTTGGTATCATTGCATGGGGTGGGTGTTATAAAAGTATTCTCAAACCTTTAAACATTGCTAAAAAAAAACTATTTTAAAAGTGGGGTTTGGCAAGTGCAAACGATACCCAACTGACGCTCTGTTTGAGGAATTGCCCATTCTCACTATTCGTCAGTTATTCATTAAAAGTTTATTAATAAACATCTTTAAAAATCATAGTACCCGTTACTCCACACGAGTAGGCATATCTTTAATTCATATAAATTATACTTTATCTAAAACAAAAAACTCTTTCTATATTTCTAATATACTCTATCGAAATATATGTTCTCATTTTAGTAACGATAAGCTTTTTGAATCACCTTCCCTTAATGTTTTCAAACTAAGAGTTAAGGAATTTCTCTTTAGGCTCGGTATAGATGAGGCCGACGATATCATCTCAGCTGATTACCGGCGCGTTTTGTAATTGTAACGTTAAAAAGTATGTATTTTGTATCCTTTATATTATGAGGAAAATAAACATATTATTTCATTCGTTCATTCAATTTCTTTGCCTGAAACAATGCACCCTAATGGTTCAATATTGAAGTAAATCTAATGTAAAAATATTTAAGCACCATCTGCACTATTTCAGTGTATGTAATACAGCAAAGAAGATATTAGTTTAGATAAGTAGTAAACGGAGCAGCTACATATTGCCCAAAGGATATGGTCTTTAGACTTAATTTAAACTGCTATGGGTTTCCTATTGAAACTCTTGCCCTTTTTTGTCGCATCGCAATCAATTGAAAATTCACTAAGTTCACTAAGCAGGTTTATAGTAGTTATAAGGATGTTGTTATGTTGGTGAAATTAAAGTTAATGAAAGAATAAATTGTTATAAACTCTTTTATTTTCTTACAAACACAACACAACAATGAATTATATTTTGTAAACAACTGCATATGTAAAAACATATGATGGTCCATCACTAATCCATTATATATAATCCTTATATATAATGCGTGAATGCGATTTCTATAAAACACTACTCCTCCGTTAATAATGGACGGATTTTTACAAACGACGTGTCAAAATAAAGTATTTTTTGTGTGGACGCCCCCTTTCACCAATTCATGTAATAAAAATACTCAGGCTTTGCCCCACAGGCCATCAAAGTTGGAGTTTCTCCCATAAGATTAACATGGGGGAATCTAAATATTTAATTGGAAACTTTGTCCCACTAATTTGAGAGAACGGTTGGGCGTAGAAACTTGGTAGAGGTCTCCAAAGAAAGGTCTTGGTCTGTAGATAAGTTATCAAAAGACAAACTAAGCAAAATCCCTTAGGATCCTTATATATAATACGTGAAGGCGATTTCTATAAAACACTACACCTCCGTTAATAATGGACGGATTTTTACAAACGACGTGTCAAGTTACTGAATTCTACCAAATAAGTATATGCAATGTTATTTTCTGATTTTAAAATTGATTTTCTTCTTTATCATGCCATGTTTTGCAATATAACGTTCCATTACGAAATCAATGGAAAATCCTTTTATCACAGCAATTCTTAAATTATTTCTTATTGAACTATCTTATATCTATTGTACGGGTTGGTGTGTGCCTTTTTCACCACTTTTGCCTACATTTTATCATATTATTCTACAAATATCAAATATTTATGTAGAAATATCTGCTCTTATTGTGTCTAATAAAATCCAAACTTAGAAACATTGCCTAAAATGGTACATATCTTGACAAATTATTTGCACCTGCCTATAAAATACTTTGGGCGTCCACACAAAAAATACTTTATTTTGACACGTCGTTTGTAAAAATCCGTCCATTATTAACGGAGGAGTAGTGTTTTATAGAAATCGCCTTCACGTATTATATATAAGGATATCAGCAACCATGTATTCTGCGGGTTTGTAGTTCAATTTTATTTCTCCATTTTGTACTTTTTCCCGTATAAAATGTTCTCATATACTGATATGCTTAGATTTACTTCCTATAACGGAGTTTTTAGCCATTGTACTAGCTGATTGGTTATCACAAAATATTGCAATGACTTCTTGAGGTCTTCCCATATCATTAATCAATTGTTTTAGATGAATGGCTTCTTTAGCAGCTTCAGTCATTGACATGTATTCCGCTTCACTCGTAGACAGAGCTACAGTCCTCTGCTTTTTTTTGATTCCCAGGAGATTACAGCACCGCCAAATTTAAAACAGTAGCCGGTGTATGATCTCCTGTCTTCACTGCAGGCCAATCTGCATCTGCTGCTCCAATTAATGGCTTTCCTGTTTTGAAAAAATTCAAGACGCAAGTTCTTTGAGCCTTGTAAATATCTGAGAACCCTCTTTGCAGCAATCCAGTGTTCTTTTCCAAAACAAGAGTTATATTGGCTCAGGTAACTCACAGCATGTGTTATGTCAGGTCTTGTGGCTATTGACAAATACATCAATGAACCGATTAAATTTTGGTATGGGTAGTTACAATCTTTTTCATGTCCTTTAACCAATTTTAGACCTGGTGTTAGTGGAGTTACAGCTGGTTTGCAGTCAGTCTTATTGAATTTTTTTGTTTTGTTGAATAGTTTTTTACCTTCATTTTCACTCTCATCCACCATTATTTCTTGGAGGTATCTCTCATAATTGTTAGGAAGTTCCATGTAAACTTTTTATTTTATTTCTCCATTTAGAAAATCAGTTGATCGTCCATTTGATCAATACTTAGATCATCTTTAACAGCAAGTCCAAGCATAAGTCTTATTGAACTTAGCTTTGCTACCGGAGCAAAAGTTTCATCGTAGTCAATGCCTGGTTTTTGTGCAAATCCTTTTGCTACCAATCGTGCTTTTCTTCTTTCTAGCTCTCCATTTGGTTTTAGTTTCTTCTTTAATACCATTTTACAACCTATTACATTAATTTCTTTGTTTCTATCCTCGAGCACCCAAGTTTCATTTTTTAAATGAGCTTTTATTTCCTCTTTTATTGCTTCATTCCATTCCTCTGAAGATTCTAAAGTTGAATCTTCATTGCAGGTAGCTGACATTTGATAATCTTTTGTCCACAGAGGAGGTTTTCTTTGCCTTTTCTGTGATACCCTTATTTCATCAGTGTC